TCAGTCGAGCATTACGCAGTGGGAAGAATAGCTGTGCTTCTACATGACAGGGGCTGAGTGTGTCTCAACAACGTCTGATTTCCTCAGAGACGTCGAGCGAGGATCAGAGTAATGGCCATCTCATTATTTACGGACAAGTTGCTGATTAAACTTGCTGCTGATTTGGTTGATGAGGCATGATAGCCACCTGGCATAACTTAAACACTTCCCCATGTGCAGTTCTGGGGACATGTTGAGGTCATTGGTAGCTGATTCTATTTAAATCACTTAAGGGTTCTTTGTCGAGTCAAATGTTCCTAGGGAATACTCGGTTTAATTCGTCCGTGGTGACAAATCAGATGCGCGAACAGAAGGCTTCTAAAGGCGAATTTGTTGACAAGTCTTGATTCATGTAAAAAAGTAATTTCAGCGTATGAGATGTGTTAAGATGAGCAGATACCGACTGAACAGTTAAATTCCTCCATTGCATGTCAAACTCCTTGAAGATGAAGGATTAACTTGTAAAAAGTGCTAGACACCACAACTCTAACTCATTGAAGAGCACACATATCTGGAGACCAAGCTCAGTGCGATAGCTTTCGGCCCGAGATCAATTATCGCGTAATCAGTGGAGTGAATTGATAATTTACACATAATTTCACTCTTCTTGTCATTAGTGACAACTCTGATGACCCGAAAGGCGGAAAAACTAAATTCGCTTACGTTACAATGTGCCTTTAGTTCAATTTCCAGGATGGGAATCTATTCTGAAAATGTCACAAAGATGGCAAATGAGACCGCAAGTCCGTTTTAACCAGGGAGTTATAAATGTTTGCTTAAAATTGTTCCACAACGTCAACAGCAATGGAAAAAATAATTCAATAACCACAGTTCACTGGCACTGGTGCCGCCTGTTATATCATTTTATGCTTTTCTTACGCTACACAGCGAACTTACTATTGGCACCAATGCGATTCCTAGCAACAAACGTAAATGCCAAAAAGTGTTTACTCACATAATTTCAGTACGGAAGTGTAAAATTCTAAATGTTTACATCTATCAACGCCGTGATTTCAGCTAGGCATTCCAAGTTTTACTATTTAATGTTTGCAGGTCTAAAAACCCTTAATCAAAAGCAATTATTTGTATGAATACATGAAGGTGGACGGTATTCCATGTTTATTCTCATTTCAAAATGGGTTGTGTGCTTAAAACAGCGACTCGCCCGGTAATTATTTGCACAGAGAAAAATTACTTGGAAAGCCGCAAAACGCAATTAACTTTCTTTTCTTACAACCAGTGGCGTCTGCCTGCATCAAACTGATCCATGTGTCGTCTGTTAGCCGGCAATGAGGGCCCATTTGCCCACAATCGCGATTGTAACAATGACAAAACAATACGCGATTGATTAGTTATCTCCCTTATCCACTAGCAGGATTTTGTGATGATCCATTGTAGGCCACCTGTGTGGGTTTTAACGAGGACGCGGTGCATGGGAGTGAGTTGACAGGCGAAGTTGTTTATGCCGCTGTGGTTCATTTCCTTTTGCGTCTCCTACCGATCGCCTACAACCACCACGACGAAGCATTCAATGTAGGTCAAATTTGTGAAAATGTTTTACGGAAATTGAGAATTACAAATTTCTGTGAGTGCGAGAAGCCAATGTTAAAAAACTTAACGTTAATAACCGAATTAGAGCTGTTTTTGTAGCACTCGCCCTCTTTCCACAAGGCACTCGAGATTTCAATACATAAATGCTACTGAGTCTTTAATAAGTAGCGTGTTTATACCAATAACTAGCACGAGAATGTTATCATGAATAAAGCATTGCGAGTGAGAGGGATGCAAAGTTTTTGCCTTTGTTAACAGCCAAAAAATGTTCACGACTGGAGCCCATGAATTCTGAAAAGACTCTCGAAACGCATGTACAATTGAGCCGTCAAGCGACTGAAGGAACGAAAAAAATTAACGATATCGAGGAAATTATAATTTTTGCTATGTCTCTGGCATGAAGTCGGTCACTCTGAATCCTCCAGGGTGCTCAGTGCATTGACTGGTTTAAACTCTTCATCAGTTTCTGCTTCGTCGTTTCAGAATCCGGTTTAAACTACTTTTAAGGGTGAGTAACAATTAAAGATTAATTTTATTATGAATGTGGACTGAGTGCGAATTGTGGAAAAGTGTTGACATCACTAAAGTGTGTTACGATTAACACAGACAACTTGTAAAATAAAGGACTTATCTACTGGATTCGTGACTTCCATTTTAAGTTCCGACTATCTCAATTAGACGTATGCATTTGAAATCAGATTACACGATATACTTTTAAAAATTCTAACTAGTAAGTACAGTTGAAGTGTGAGAAATCACGAATCTTAGTGATTGCATTTCTCCCTAACCAAATTCCAGCCTTAGATTTTGGGAGTCCCATCAGCTACCAACCGGCGTGAGTGCGCCAATGTGAGGAAGTGAGGGACATACAGTGTAGGAAAGGTGATTGGTTTATACCTATATCAGTTAATGGCACGGAAATTGGCAAAAATTCCTTAAGAGACTACATCCTTTCTCTCCATAAACCAAAGCTAAATGCATTTCAGAAATTCTTTAAATATCCTAGTGAAAGGTGCTTGGGTGGCACCTGAGAACTCGCTAATACGACTAAAAGTACTTGTGCTAAAAAAAAACTACCCATTTTTTAGTTTAATCGACTGCAAGTACCCGAAAATCTTACACAAATGGAACGTGAAGAAAAAGCCACTATCGTTATCAGAAAACAAATCGCATTTGCACTGTCGAGTCTGAAATGCATGGATAATTATTCAGAGCAATTGCTGACCACAATTAGCCGCAAAATCGCCTAGCTTGTCTAAAACCAGTCCCATTTTTCCTCAAAATTAAAAATGACTCATTATTTAAAACTGGTATCCAGCATAGAAGTTAAATAAGCTTGCCTGTGAAAAAGAAAGATAAGTAACAATCGTTAAACCACGCAGATGACAGGCAGTGTGGACAGCAGGAAATTTCGATGTAAGTAATCCCTCACATGAGATGGATGAAGTTGATACTGGTGCGTGTTGTGATTCTAAGCAAAGATGCCTTTAAGTTTAATTGGCCAATTTAACGGCTGAGAACTGTTGATGACAGCACAGTGGATTGCTTTCGTGAATTGAAAATCGTTGTGTGTATTTTTCTATGTTCGAATTTGACTAGGCACAGGAAGACCATGTTATTTTCCACCTTTGACAACTGCGAAGCCCACATCTAAGGCAATGGCGCGGTCAATTCTTTCGCATTGATCGGCACCTCGAAATTGTAAATAAGTCAGAACATTTGACACGAGAAGTGCGTTCCCCAATGTTCCAAACCAAAGTCAATGCGGGATTTTGTGAGGATAGTTTGTGCTGTCAGTTAACATTTGGTATTTGACTTAATTTCTGCAGATTATTTCATCGAGCTTACAGTTATATTTAAAATTGGAATATGTTCGCGGTCAATCGTGGTTTTGAAAGGATTGGACTCAAGCTTTCACAACACCGAACAATGAGTCTACGTGAGTTACACAACCTCTCACGGAACAGCAGAGTATACGATGGAAACTGATAGACAGTACATTCGATGACACAGAGGTAAAACTGCTTCTAAATCACGGAAGGAATCAATTTATAGTGTTCTTGGTGCTGCCGACGCTGTGTCTTGCCAAACATGCAATTATTGGTTCTTCGATCTTGGTGACCAGCAGCGCAACGGACAGCAGACTCGAAAGTTGGAAGGTGTGGAATTGCAAGCTGCACTGAATGCGGACTCAAAGAAGACGCAAAGAGAGTTTGCAGCTGAGTTTGGAGTCACCCAAGCAGTTGCTTTCAAGCGTGTGCACTGTTGAATGGGAAAGATTCAACAACTTGGGGGGTGGGGGATGTGCGTTGGCCATTGACCGATTCTCAGCGTTAACGTGGTATTCTGTTGCCCAAACAGAAAATTAACTAGATTGATTTCATTTCGTTCATATCAACAGTAGACTCCGAATTCTCGCTTAGGTTCTGTTTGATTTTACCGTTTCCAATATCAATTCGGAGTTGAATACAATCTCCAACTTATTTGAAATAGCTGAAGTTATTTACTTGGAAGAAGCATCATCAATTATCCTCTTTTGTTTTTAGCATAGGCAGACTACGAGGTTCAAGTCTCGAAGAGGCATTATTGTGGGGTTCAAATGGTTTCCAATTTTCGGTCCCACAGATATGACTAGAAACATGAAAAGACGGAATGATACACGATCTCACCTGTGAGACATTTCCCCACCAGTCACAGCTCCTGATGGTGTTGAATTTCAAGGTCAGGCGGTTTGGTCGGAAGCCCAGAAGGTACTCCTGCAGTCCTCCTAGTGCACTACACATGGGTCATAAAGATAGATTGCCTGATCTATCTTAATTGTGTTGGCAATGCTGCAAACACCGAGTCCTACACGGATAAAAGATCTCACGCTACTTACACTGAAGCAAGGAAAAATGACTGCCCACGCACTCAGACGCGAAATCATAACTCACTAGTTTTTTGCGTTCTGAATACCAAAGTAGCTCGATATCTTTTTTAATGAACATTGTAAGGAACCTGAACTCAAATTCACAGTAGCATGAATGATCTAACTCAACGTTCCTATATTTGTTCTCCAAATTAGGATTCACGAAAACACCTCAACCAGATCCTCCAAAAGACTATACTTTTAGCCACATTACTACACCCGTGACCGTTAATTGTCCTGTTGCCATTCAGAGCTAAAAAGCACAAAGGTTACCTTGTTATATTTCTAGCAACGACGTATTGATTGTTGTATGCGCACACACAAGATAAGTCAGGTTATGCCATTCGAAGTACAAAATGAGAGAACATATTACGGGGTAAAGGGAAAGAGTGAGAGATTAAATTAAAATCAAATCAACAAACTAAATAGAAATGCTTCATGATTTGAGATTAAGAGACAAGTGAGGGTGATTGTCCGGGGTGTGTGTGTGTGTGGAGCTGCTTCACCGGATACGCGCAGGCGGAGGAGGCGGAGGCTGCCGGCGCTGTCGCCTCCGCCTGTCGTGATTGTCGAGGTCAGCGAGGATCGAGGAGAACTCGGAGAGCTGCTGGTACTCCGAGTTGGCGGGGAGAGGGGTGGCGGGCCGCGGGTCGGCCCCCGTCGAGATCGGCCGGAAGGAGCAGGAGTCGGGCGCCTGCTCGAAGTGCGGGTGGTGCTGGTGGCCGCTGAGGAATGCAGAGGGGTTGGAGGAGGACTGGGGAAGGCCAAGCAGGGGACAGGGGAGCATTTCTGGCATAACGGTTAAGTGGAGGATGAGACAGGGAAGGGAGGGCCACTCCTTCTCGAGACCCTTCAACCGGACACCGGTGGGAGTTCGTTGAATCAAGTAGTGGCTTATGGCGCCACCTGCTCCACCGCCACCGCCAGCGGAAGTGCGGGGTGTCATCCCGGCGGACAGACATCGTTCAGTGGCGTGAGATTGGGAGGAATCGCTGCCAACACGGACGGAAAGGGCGTAGCAATTCGAGTGAGTACCACTGTCACGTACTATGAAACTGCCAGGCTAAAAAAGTACAGAAATGCTTTCAAGACCCCCCCAATTAATCCAATACACCAACTTGTGTGCGCGATAAAGACCAACAGCACTTATGACCTCATTAGCACTAAAAGTTTTTGTCCAGATGAATTAAATGACGTTGAGTGCTGAAAGACGCTGATGGATGAAAAGACTTTGCCGCTTAATCATCAAGCGGAGCACTTTAAAGGAGGAGAATTTCAAGAAACCGGTGGAATATTTTTCATGAACATATACCATCATGCTCTGTCACAAAAAACCGCATGACGGATTACAGACGTGTCAGATTGCCTGGCGCTAAGGTAAACGATGCGGACTGCCTACAGATGATAAAATAAACGAGTCAGAGTGGGCTCTTATTGGGAGCCGGTTGGCACAGCAGCTCAGTGATACACGAGACAGCGCGCGGATGTGGGGTGTTAGTGCACGAGCCGGGCCCGATTAGCGCAGCAGAAGCCCTCTTTTTCAGCCAGCCGCCACACGATTGCAGGCCAGAAGCAGTCATCACACAAGAGGCAGGCGACCCCCCCACCACCACCACCACCTCTCACGAGTGACTCACGCGTACAAAAAGGGAGCCAGTGTGTGTAGTAGTCATCCGCCCCAGTCCGACACTGGAGGGAGGCAGGTAATCAGACTCACAAAAAACCGAAAAAAAATGGGAATTGACATTCACAAACCGTGTTCGAGGGACAAAGGTGGACAGGTGTTTGGATATTCGAGACAGTTAAAAAAAGTCACAGCACTGCCCACCCACGGCTGCAAATAGCCAGAAGCATGGACGACTCGGTGGGAGCAGAAACGTCAGTTCGGCAAAACGGGACTATGGGATAGCCGACCGTTCTAGGGGTGTAGAAAGATTGAAATGACGGTGGAGGTCTTGTTACGAAATAAGACGACTGTCGAACATCGATGCAGTCACAGTGCTTACTACCAAGGGTGGCGCTTTAAAATGGCTGAACTGAATGGTGGGTAGTTGAAGAATCTAGGAGGAAGGCGGGGTACAAATGAGACTGTTTTTGAGGGGCCCTGTCTTAGGCCTCACCATTGAACACGGGCGTTGGTTCGACACAAGCTCAATATGGCGAAGTGGCTTCGATTTATCCAATTCCCTTCTCAAACTAACTCCAACCAATGAAAATTGGAGGATTCTCACCAATGGTGTCCCGGCAAGACACAGAGGTCGAAGGACACCTGGGGTAGAAAGCACCCGCCTAAATCAACACTTGACCTAGGAAAGAAGGTGACTGTAGTGGAACGGAGAGTGTTAGCACATTTCGAGGACCTCAGCTACCGTGGCGATATCTGCATCAACGTTTTAGAAACTATTCAAAACACCCAATTGTCAGGTACTCACACCACATCAGACGTTTAACAAGACCGTCATCACGAACCGACGCAATCAATACATGATCGGCAAGAGAAAAACTTTGGAAAGCACCGATCAGGGTGAGTAGAAACGGGGGGCTACACGGAAACAGAGCGAGAGAAAGGCCAGAAGGCGTGAGAGAGCTACAGTCGCGGATAACCCCATAAGAGTGCTGTAAAACTGAACGACGGGCGAAAAAAAACATGCCTCGCACAAATTAGAACAATTTTCCTCCAACCACAATTAATGTAAAAATTGCGCGTATTTGGAATACTTGGAAATATCCAGCGGCAAATCAACTTGGCATAAAATATCGCCTTGTGTAGTAACTGGCAGGGGCTTCGGTTTCCATGGGAGGCCTTTGGATTGCGCATTTGTGCGATATCCGATGACGGGTAAATTCGCTACAGTTAGTGGGTTAACGGTTGGTTTGTTATCAATTTACAAAATTGAATTAGAGCAGAAAATTAGGAAAGCAGTTCAAGTGAAAGAGGACGGCAGCAAATGAACCACAAAATCCCAGCTGATTACCGGTTGTCGGGCGAGCATATCCAGTGCCAAATCCCTGGGAATATTCGGTTGATACCACGGCGCTGAGGCCAGCTGGTTAGAATGCAGGGACTGGGCCTGCTCGGGTCCGGTGGCGATGCCTGCTGAGGTCTTCAAGCTGTTGGCACCGCTGCTGCCCGAGGGTGAGCTGCTTCCTCCACCGCCTCCATCACTGCCGACCTGGACGAGAGCTGTCGAGCTGAAGGAGACGCATCGATCCGACGGGGTCTGACGTCGGCGGGCTGGAGGAAAGGGTGGGTTTCTGTGGGCCTCGGAGGCCTGATCGTAGGCATTTATAGAGGAAGATGGGCTGGAGGCGAGAGAGAGGAAAAGGCATGCATTTTTTTAAATGAAACAACATTCCACCCGGAGTCAACCGTTGCCATTCCTACGCATAAATGTCATGCTAATTAGTCTCTTGGAGAGAAGACAATCGGGCTTAAATTAAAAGTCGGCATAACTGCTGTCCTGATGCATCTTACACATCGAATGCAACAGATCTCCCTCTTCGTAGAATTGACCTAGTTAAGATTACATTTTGGACATTTGATCCAAAACCTCAACTTCAAATTTTTCACCAAAACCAGACAAAAGGTAAGTACCAACGAAAGGCTGCATGCAATACAATGTAGACCAGAATAAAACGAGGTGAAACGTGTGACAACAGACTAGAGCGGTCCTCATATCGTGCAATACGAAGAAGACCCGGGAAGGAACACACCTTAACGGGGTGGGTCTTCGTCGTTCGACCAGATTCGGGATGGCAGCCAGAGATTTAGCCAATTCAACTTCGTCTGTATCCGCGTTTAGAGCGTCTGACGTCACAGGAAGTGGCGTTGGATGTGGTGCACTGGGAGGTTGAGCAAAACCGTCATCATCGTCATCATCGCAGCCCACTCCACCTACGTCGGGGCGCCGTGGCGGAGAGTCGCTTTGGTCACGTTGACTGGTCTCATGAGGACCTTGTCCAATTCGAGCGGAACGAACAAGTCTAGGAGGATGAAGGCGGGTGGATGAGATGGTATACACTACCACAAGGTTTTTTCCCTTTTAAAATCTTTACGAGCCAACTCACTCCAATTGCGTAAGGCGTAAAGAATGATAAAAAGAACATGGTACAAATTCGGTGGGATTACGGAGTATCTTTGGGTAGCTGCAGACACGATCCCCAAAACCCCGTTCACAATAGAAACGAAGACCGTGGGGCGGACGCGCGTCTGGACAAAAATAATCCGACCAGTGGGAGGCCAGGGTGAGAAGACGTGTGAACAACGCACGCAGATTTCTGGCGCGCACGCGCGCACGCACGCACGCGCCCATACGTGCGCACAAACGCGCTGACTGACATGTTGGGATGGTGGCGTGGGCAGATTACAAAGAGCGATGAGTTAAACGAGAGCAAAGCGACTTGCGGACATTTTTAGGCGAACAAAGGGAAAAAGAACACGTCGAGAAGCGACGGTGCGATGGCTTATAATAAGGGAAAATGTGAAAATCGCGAGCGATTAGGTCAATCGGTCGGAAACCGTGATTTCCTTCGAGAAGATCAAAATGCATATTTTGGGACGCAGATTTTACTGAAACGACAAATGCGTACTTATCTTACAAATTAAATTGTGAACAGATGAGTTGAGGCTAGACCCCAATAGGTTAGAAAACTTGGAGGACATGATACCATTGAAACCTAAATGGAACGGTACTTTGCGTTTGTTCACCTCGCCCAGTAAACACTGTCGGCCAATTTCGAATCAGATTGGCGGATGTAGTCAAGTGCCACGTCAAAGCAGATGGTCATTTCGTGTGAGTAGATTCATCTTCTGCTGGTCTGCTCAACACCTGGTCGATTGCTCAATAACACACGACTCTTCAGTCAACTGGGCACTTTGCTCAGACTTGAGGACGCTTCCATCAATTTTAGCGCGAAACCACTTCCAACAGACAACAGAAATATCGCCACATACACACCTCGCCATCCACAGATGCCACACCTGGCCAAATGTCCCCACATCTCAGCTTGTCCCTACATCCCTCCTCCCCCACATGTGAAAAAGATACCAGCAACTGCGACGGTCACTGCACAAACAAAAATAGCCCATGCAAAAACACAACCTTGTTCATCTCAGTTGCCAAAGCCTCTAAATCAAACAAACCAGCCACAAAGACCAACTACGTTTGGCAACGATTTGGCCGACAACGGCGGATTAGACCCACCACCTACTAGTTCGAGTTTGCTTTCGACACAACAAGTTATTCAAGAATGCGGACACGGCATCACAAAACAAGTAAACTGCGTTTTAGACCAGCCTTGAATGCGTCAATGAGGCATGTCAACTTTCAAACCTCATCTTTACTGCCATCTTCGCGTCCACTATGCGCAGTGTTGGCGAGCCGAATGCCCACATCCTGAATAGACAATGGATCGAGGCCACGTTCTCTTAAAATTCACGAGACAATTTCGCACAGGGGGGGTTTCTCTGTGTGATACAGGCTCCTAGAAGCTAGCTCCACAAGTTGTTTGATTTCCAGTGACTTTGGAAATAACATCCACAAGTCTACGTACTCGCACATGCCATTTTTATTAACTCAATAGTTGTTTTGCGGTGGGAAGACCGATTAAGAAACAAACGAGCGGGTTTCTCTGCGTGATGAATGCTCCAAGACACTAACTTCACACGCCGAGCCTAAATTCACTTGCCAGCATTTAATAGGACAACCTAACCTACAATATCAAAGTCTAGTCCTCTTTCATTCTACAGAACAGAAAACGGAATTAGCATAATGGTGGTATAAGTGTGGAACAAATTCGCGTTGTATGAACTTCGGCCCGCTTAAAGTGTTGTTAGCGAACTCTGTAACCTTGAGTTGTGAAACAAGGGGATCACACATTGGACTCAGCCAGGCAGCATGGCCAATGGTAGAGAAGTGGCAGCATACATACGCGATGACCGATGCACCTGTAGCGCATGAGAGTTGATAAACAGCCGAGATGCGTTCACACTGCTCACAAATGAGCATTTGGCCTTCACAGGGTAATGAGGAAAAAATGCACACAGGCCACGAAACAATCTGGTTGCAGAAGGGTACAAAATCTATGCTCGGACGGTCAACACAGAATGCCAATGCCGTTGGACGCATTCCTTCCGAACGCCTTACATAAGCGTGCGCTGTCCCCCTGTCCACCACTACCTTTTTAATCTATTGTGGCCTCGGGGATTCGAGGATGGTGAATGCACCTGACTTACATAAATACGATACTCCAAAGCGACAAAACGATGAACTAAGGCGTCTCGCGTCTTCTCATCCACCTACAAGGCTCACAGTGTCCGAAATTATGGTAAGACAATACGGACAACCATACGTTTCCAGGTGGCAATGTGTCCAGAAGACGGTCTACCTTTGAGAGCCTCAATTACGGTTTAGATGAACTGTGAACTCGTTCATTTGAAATGAACGTTAACCGGATCCATTAATGTGCAAGAGAAGCGTAGAATAGTCTGCTTTCTGGCGACCTACTTGTGTGGTTTCTCTCGCTTATTTGGAGCTGAAAATTCGGTGTCGTTTTGCGGCTGGCAACGGTGGGACTGGGTGACGGTGACCTTGGACGATACCGGGCCAGTTGGTGACTCCCCAACGCTTTCATCCACTCCAGAGGGCACTGACTTCCTCGCAACTGGATGCCTCTCGTCACCGTCAGAAGCACCGTGGATGGGTCGTGGCTTCGGAACCCTGGAGGCGGATTCGGAAGAGCTGCAAATTGAATTACTAAGTTTACTCACGAAGAGGTATACTGACCACAAGCAATTGATACTGCCGACATTTCAGAGTAGAACAGCCTATCAACAATGCTGATAAAATTTTAGAATGCGACTCTTAAACCGCTAGGTTGTTGTTGAAGTTTGGGAACATGGGCCTTCTGATTCAATTTCAGCTCATACTTGGTAAAATGCTGATCACGTCTAGAACCTCATCCACGCACTACTTCTAAATTCTCTTACACAGCTGGTCACGACCATCAACACAACAATACTCCAAACTACCTCAAGCCAGAGTCAGCTGCGTAGCCCGTGTAGACTTTTCTGAAGGAGGACGCATTTGCAGTTGCGATGCCCGAGTCCAACTCGGTCACTGGATAGGCGGTCGCGGAGGGAGGGGATGCGGCGTCGCCTGCCACGGTGACGTTCACCGTCTGCGTCTGAGTCGCGGCCCGTCGGCTCTCAAGGAGCGCGCGCTGCTGGGCGTAGGCGATGCGGAAGGCCTCGCCGACGATGCTATTTAAGTTCTCCGCCTTAAAAAGAGATGAAAGACCACTTCACGATGTAGGCCTATCAGGTCGCATGATTCGTTCTCCGAGGCGTATCGAGCAGTCCAATCAAAACGCATAGGGATCACGAGAAAGCACAAACCTCAACTTGGACAGTTGCTTCATGAACACGCGCTTTGCCAATCAACCTGGCAGCTACTGTAGATGATATTTGGACCGAGGCTCAGTGCCTGGATTGTGTGGGTTTTTCAGTTGGTGTAACTGATGATACTTTGCGCACCGAAACAAAACTCCGTGTTTAAAATTACCTTTCTGGGTAAATAAGGCACTTATTTGTCCAGACGGCACTAATTCTGACTTATACCCTGACAAATTGGCATAAGCGTGCTATACCGAATTACCACCAGTATCTACACACCCTATTCAATGAAAAAAGTTACAAAGCAGTCTCACAAGCATAGATGGGGATCACGCTCTACACAATAATGATTTCTAGCTGCCTTGTTGTAGTTACGATAAAAAGAAGTTTATTCTCTAACATTTTTTGCCATGAAATGACAAGTGACTAGGTTATAAGAACAAGGATGATAAATAAACATGGGCGTTTGCTCAAAACGAAAAGCAATTGTAGCATACTCGTTTCGTAGGAATAAGCCAGCAGAATAATTAGTCTGGTTGTTATGACCTGTTCCCTTTTGACTTGAATACGCTAAGATCGAAGATACCAGATGAGCAATCGTTCCCTGTCCAATAATAAGCATTTGTAGCACTAGACGGCAGCCAACAATTGACCTCCCATCTCCGCGACCGCGTGGCTAATGAGTGTGGTTAGTTGTGAGTGCATGGATTGTATTTACGTGCGACCTTGAATACAAATCGCTATCACATACACACACACACACCCCAACTGCTACCGACACCCGCACGTGGACCATAAATAATCAGAAGTGCTCCCCCGCGCCTCTTAAGCCTCAGTTTATGTGGCGAGCCACTAGCCGGATGAACTGGCGACTCCGAGATGGACAAACACATTTGGCGGTACCTGACAATGGTCCGAAGCAGTCACTGATTTCGTGGCATTCAATAGTGGAGATGCTACTCTCTACACCCAGTGTTGTCAATTCGCATTGGGCTTTTGCCTTTATAAGGAATCGTCCGATGAAGCATTAAAGACGTTACACAAACCGGACCATCTGATAAGAACCACCCTCACTTGCCGCTAACTGAAGACGTAATGCCAGTCTGCACTCCTCATCACAAGACACGGTAAGCCTCGGGATAGCGACTAGACTCACAGGAGAGATTTTAGATAATTTCAGCTACGCAAGAGAAATACCAGAGGATTGAGCAATCGGCAATCGATTTTCTCCACGCATGGGTGAAATCACTTCGCTGAAATGCAATACGGACACATACGAAAGTTGAAACTACTCAATAGTGCAAACTATGTACTTCATTCACGCCATTCTACGCTCACATACCTTGGCCATTTTTGTTAAAAGAGCAGAAAAGTGACTACCGCCAACAAGCAGCCGAGCCGCACCATTTTTTGTGTGTGAAAAGTCGACTGGTAGTTGAGTTATGACGGGCATACCGGTTATTCACCGAAATCGCAAGGAAAACATTAAACCCGCTGCATGACTTCGCAGCAAATGGTGGTCAGACTGATGCCACGCGAACCCCTAAGGCTTTATCGCTCGATAGCAGAGCCGCTGGACTTTAGTGAAAACATCGTCGCCGTGACGTCTGAAGACCAAATGTCTGATAAACTTATCAAACAAACGTGAGGTGTTTGCTGCTTGCGAGAAACCTGAATCAGTGACCCTTGGACTAACAAATAGCTGTAATATTTCCAGTTAAACACACTTGATTCACCCTTAAAACTAGCTTCGTGGAAGTATCCATTTTCAAGGAATTTAACCAATCTGGCATGTAGTTTTAGGCATCATACCCAGTTACACGGTTTGGATGGCCAAAAAGTATACCTAGCCACCGATTTTTAAATTGACTCACCGTAAAATCAGTTTACTTAATCGGAAGCGACTTAGCTTGCCGTCCGCGCACGTTGATACTTCACTCACGGTGTCGGAACTTGAGTCGAGTTCATGCAAATTCCTCCAAATAACCTAAACCTAAGTGCACTGAAAAACGTGCTTTGGGATTTTAAAGGGCAACTACACAAACTAACATTGTTTGTTGTTTTTTGAAGGTAGAACGGAACACTTTGGTTTACACACAAGCTTAGAAAGCCGAGTTTCCTTCACTGATTGTCCGCAACTTCATTTGGACGAAAACGCGGATACTTCGACTACCACCGGAATGCGGTAGGTGAAAGGTAGGTATTGAGACATGTTTGATTACCCAATGTTTGTGTTTTCTCACTTCTAGTAGAAGATAACTAATAAAACCTAATACGAAACTAAGGGACCATGAAATCGCACAAACGGCGGTTCTTCCTCCCACTAAGCAACCATTTTTTGGTTATTTTATAGTTGGGGTTGCATTTTTGCAGGAAGGCAGCTTAGCGAACGAGGGATTCGGGTTTTTCGTTACGTCAGTGAATTCCGAACCAATCCAAGACACAGAGGGAATCCCGCTGTGACGAACTTCCACCAACTGTGAACATATGCTACCGCATGGGACTGTCCAACAGTCCATACGATTTGATTTATTGCACTTTATACAGTTGCTAGCGCATGGGGAGACTTACATATGGTTTCAGTAGCGCACAAGATTGGTAGTTTTTGTATCATCGAGTTCCATTCGAACTGCTTACTTGAACAACTAACCACAACCCGTACAATTTACGTAAAGTGGTGGCAATTTACATGTTTTATCAACACCAAACTAAACTCAGAGAACAATTGAACACAACTTCTGGACATCATAGCGCCTTTTAAGGTGCATAATGCATACCATTACAGACAGTGGATCCCGAAACACCACTAAGAACGCTTGCAATTCCAAAATGTATAAAATTCACAAAGTTTCACCCAACGCAAAAGAAAACTCCACTTCCACCGAAGAACCTCCAAGCGATGCTGTCCGAAGGAGGGCGAAAAACTCTACCGCTAATAAAAGGTACCGTTGCGAGAGCTAACGCTCCCGTCTACGAACGCACAGATCCCATCCGTCCCAGGTGCCGCGCGTTTCACATTCCGCAGCTGGCGCACATTTACAACAGCATCCTAATGGGAATACGCAGCGGGTCGTTTTTGTTTTGTGATTTCCAGAAACACACAAGCATTGCAGCGCATTACGGTGTAAATTTCAACAACTGATCATAAACTAAAGTATATTTAGCACTTTCTTCAAAGCTGGCGATTGGCCGATTTCGATATGCCTGTGAAAACTAATCACTTCCATTTTGACCTATTTCTGACGAATATTTTTGTAAACCGTAACTGAATTTTACAAATACTCTACCAGTCGTTTCGCCTTATATCCAATAAGACAGAGGTGCATATTTGTTCAACCGGGCCAGTGAGATTTGTCAGAGAACAAAAACAGTTTGAATAGGTCACTTCAACCGTAAACGTGATTTAGTTTACCAATTACCACTTTTTTTAAACCATCCAAGGTCGGCTAAACCAAAAAACAAGCAGGATAATTCAAGCTACTCCACTTTAAAGCCCGAGGTGTGTAATAGCGTCTCACAGAGAGCGAAATTTGACAAAAACGACATGCCTAACAAGCTATTCAAGCGCGAAATGCGTAACATGCGGTCGAGATAGAGGACTAGCTCAACGCTGCCACACTAACTCCTGGTGGTCCATTGTGAAAAATAAACACTTCCAGATGACCGACCACCACCAGAAGCGTGCCGACTGATAAGCGAATCAAAGCGAAAATAACAACAAACACAGCCCACAGCACCTGATTCACAGTCACTAAGATGGGCTGCAATTGTTACAACTGCGATTCGAAGTCGCATTGGACAGTGCAGGTAGAGTACAGTATCTCGCCAAGCCTCTAGCATCAAGCAAATGACGTCCAATCCGAGAACCGAAGTTTCGTTTAGAGCGGAGTCAGTGAACCGGCCACAATGACTAACCCACGATTAACCTAAGCAGAAGCGTTCGGTGAGAACGCGTCTTTGCCGTCAAGTGCATAACCGATTATGACCTCGAGGCACAAGAGATAGTTTAGTGACAAATGTGCGTATGCAAATGCTTCGGTTCCACCACGATCATCTTCGCTAAATCAGCTTTACGCAATTGCCGTGAAACATCGAAATTGAGGCCTTAGGAGTATGCCTGAAACGCAACATCCTGAGAATTCTCAGTGCAAGCTGATTGTGGCATACACCAACTTTGAAAAAACTGGCTTGAAAACGCCGATGGAGGGGAATTCACGTTTGAGAAAACGCGGGCTAGCAAGAAGTCGGAATTGTCACGTATGCCCGTGCACAGACAATTAGAAGCTTGGGAAAATTTGGCGTGTTGGTGACTAGAATGTCGCGTACACTCACGGACACAAACAAAGCACGGCTATTAGTTACTTTCGCAAGACTTTAAAAAGGCGCATTTAGTACGACAGCGTCAAAAAGCGTCACTTAATCCACGACGATGAAGAATTATGGCCGGATTCAAAACGTTGTGTTGAAGAAGACGTTTACCGACTAGCGAGACTGTTAGGCAATAATGCACAATAACTTGTTCCAGGAACATAATCCAATGTTAGAGTAGAACCGGAAGACAATGTAAAGTCCCTTCTATCATTTGCAGCTGAACAGGGCGATTTCAGCTCATGTACATTACTTGATCGTGACCAGTTCCACTAAATGCTAAATATACTTTAAAAAATACAAATAAGAATGACTACACAGCCTGGACACAGTTTAGGACAGTGCTAGTTCCTCTTCATAAAGTGGACAAGTGACAACACAAGGTTAGTTTTGCATTGAAAAAAGCATATGAGATGGGATCGAAGTCACTTGAGCTTTAATCCAGCATCACAGCAGCAAGAACTGCGACTGATTAAACCAACACTGGCGATGACTAGAACACAAACAAGTGCCAGTGGCATTGAAATGACCACCTGGACAAACGGGCAGTGCTCAGGCAACAGGCGAGTCGTTACCGAAGTGCGACAGAATCCTGCCGATCCCAGCATTCCTTTTAATGAAAATTTCGGAGCGACGTTTGACTTCCACTGAAGAAGTTATCCCAGTCTGTAAATTGAAGTAAGGCGAAAAAAGCCTCCATGGCCTGAAGAGTGACTTCGCCTTCCTCGTATAATTTAGTCAGCTTAGCGGCCATAAGGAAGGCGATGTGAGTCAGCACCTGATAGCGCACATACTTACGTTAAGAATAAACTTCCAACAAGGAATCCAACGTCTTGAGGGTTTGAAAAAAAAAACAGCCAGGTCGATTAATCGCTTCGGCTGGCGATCTAACTACGACAATCTACTCGTAAATTATATAAAACCTTGTATTTAGATCAAAATACATGCACAGGACCATTTTCAAAACAGTGTAGGAACGATTTAAATTTACCAATTGTAATAAAAGTAAATGATAATGCATTCAAGTGCCATGTCAACGCAGATGGTCATTTCTAGTGAGTAGATTCATCTTCTGCTGGTCTGCTCAACACCTGGTCGATTGCTCAAC